AATGTTTAGTAGAATCTACATGCTTAGTTTGTTCTGCTTGCTGTTTTTGGCTCTTCTGAGGTTAAGAGACAAGGTTGAGATCTATGGGATGGGAAATATTGCAATGATATTGTAATTTACTTTTGTATTTTCCCTTTCCACTTTTTACACCATGGTATTTTGTTAGTTTGAGAGTTTTTTCTAAGACCAATATATTTGAATATCCATTAAGCTCAAACAACTATGCAGTTGTGTATTCATTTTGCTTATGTTTTATTATGTTATTTTGGTGTTGCCACATTTGTAACAAGTATCAATATTCTCTGTTATTTTGGTTGTTATTTTTGTGTTGCCACATCGGTAACAAGCACCAATATTCTCTTATCACCATAAGAAGATGTATAGGAGTATTATTATTCATTAACTTTTTCAGAAATAAAGGAACATATGATATGCTAGGAGTATTATTCATGAACTTTTAAATACAGGCACATAATTGATACGAACATAGGACTAGAAAATATTTAGTTTTTGTAGAAAATATTTAGTTTTCCTAACATGATAGTTAGGAGTATTATTCATGAACTTTTAAATACAGAATCATAACACCTTTAGGTGCAAGGAACATGATTGATACATGAAGATAACACCTAAAGTGCAAGGATAGGAACATGAACATATAGTCTTAGAGGATATGAAAATATTTGGCGGTGGAATGATTAATCGGTAGTGGGTATATTAGAATAATTTTTAAAATAAAATAATTAAAATTGATTTGATGTAAATGTAGGAGAGATGTGATTTAAAATAAAAGTTAGCTAAAATAATGTGAGTGGATGAATAGTGAATTAAGGTTGATGTGATGTGTATGAATTAGCAGATTGATATTATTTAATTATATTGATAATATTGATAATATTGAGGTTGAATTTAAAAAGTGGTTGATTTAAAATGATGGAATTGTTTTGAAAAATTTTGAATGTGAACATACTTTTAGTTTTCTACTATATTTTAAATTATGTTATTTATATACAATTTCTTAAGTCATAATAACGACTTGAAATTTAATATTGATAAAGTTATACAAATAAAAATTACTATTTTCTTTTTTAAGATAAGTGAAAGATAACACACAAGTTTTTTTAGATTATTACATACAAATAAAATTGTCTCTCAAATCTGGACAAAAATCAAGGCCAAATTTGTCTGAGTAACGTGGATATATGATGTCTTTGGATGGTAGTCTTAGTATTTAGTTTAGCAAACTTATAATTGACATAATATAAGAAATATGTTTAATTATATAAATATCACTCCAATTAATTATAGTATAACTTAACAATTAATTTTCACCATTTTTCTACAATTTTAAACATATATAGGTAACTACTTAGATACCATATCATATATCTTAGTTCATCATATAATCTCCTAAAACAATAGCGCAAAAAGTTGTAGAAACATTCCAACAATTTGAGATATTTAGTGAAAAAAAGTTCCAAAGTTGTATAAACATCCATACAATTTGAGATATCTATTTGTATAAACATCCATACAATTTGAGATATCTATTGAAAAAAATTTCAAAGTTGCATAAACATCCAAATTATTCGAGAAATCTCCTGAAAAAAGTTTTCACGAACACCCAAACAATTAGAGAAATCTAATAAAATAAAAGAAAAAAGAAAATTTTAAATAAATGATGTATTTAGTTACTTAGTCCATAGGAACTTTTGGAAATTGTTAATGTAAATTTTAGTTCCTTAGATGCAAATATTAGTTACTATGATTTTTTTTTTTTTTTTTATTGTAATGAGATATATTTCAATTGGCTCACATTTAAATTTTTAAATAATTATGACTTGTTAGCTTTGTTTATATGATGCGATCTTATTTACTCAATTAAAGAATATTTTTATTTTATTATTATTTATTTTTTTTTTACATTTTATATCACCTCAATAATTATTTAAAATATTAATTCTTTTTATTTTCTAAATAATTATAAATCAACATAAATAAGAATGATAAATTATGATGATGTCCTTATAAGTAATTTTACATGTTAACAGCTAATTAAAAATAGCTAATTTTACCAAACATTTTTTTACAAATCGCTAACACAATCATCTGGTCAAAACAGCTAATTCAATCCGCAGGTCAAAGGCGCTAATGCAATCGACTAACCGCTGATTACCAAACAAGGCTTTAATGTTTGGTGTTTAATTGTCTTAGTTGGAAGTTTGGTGTTAAATTGTCTACTAGGTTGCGTTAGGCACTTAATGTTGGGTGGTCTTTCAGATCACCAAAATATAGGCCTGTTGGTTGTGTTCGGAAAATGTTAGTTAGCATGCATATAGCTCACTTCGAACTGTCCTTTAAGAATTTTTTCAGCATTTCATATGTTTGATTATGTTTGCAAACATTCGATGGGAGGTTCCGAAAATGTTGTGTATGGAAACTATCATTTAAGATTTTTTTTCAGCATTTCATAAGTTTGGTTATCTTTGCAAACATTCAATGGGAGGTTAATGAGATGTTTTGTGTATGCTTAGAATATGATATAAACTGAAATCTTCTATGTATTTCTCATAATTTGTTTTGATAAAAACAAAAACAAGTGTTTCGAAATATTTCAAGCTATCTGGCTAATCCCTAATATAAGTAAACAGCAAAACTTAATTCATTTCTCTTTGCATGATAAAAGAGAAACCATATGTCAATGAAAGGATGGACCAATGATGTATATGTCTGAAACTCTCCTATTCTCACTAATAGAAAGAAAAGCCAAGCTGCTAGGGAAGAGGAATAAAATCTATCTCTCTCTTACATATAAGAAAAAGTATGAGGAGCTCTATGCTTGACATGTGGCATTTTTTTAAGACCAAAATACCCCAGTTTTTATCCTCTTTTTACATCTCCTGCCACTGCATTTTACCACTTCCTCTTATGGCGCCAAACGACGTCGTTGCATCCCATATGATTCGACTAAATTGCCGACATTGTATTGTACTTTGTGAGATGTTATGGCAATTTTATTTTTGGTCAACATTGTTCTGCCAACCCACGTCCTTGACATCATTTTATCACGTGGCGTTTTTCCCAAAATGCCCCCGCATTTGTCTTTTTTTTGTCATTTTCTTCAGTCATTTATGAGAAATTACTCGGATGACCCTGCTTTGTACTGCTTTTTAGGGTTAATGGTGTAATTTCTGCCGACGCATGCTATGCTATGGGCAAGTTGACAGGTTCTCCCCAAAAATCTGCTATTTCTCTTCTCCACGCAACTGTAACTCTGTAACCTACTCTCTCATTTGATTTACCTAATCTGCGAATGCACGTTTCTACTCTCGATTTTTGCTCTGAAATCATGGAAGAGAACTAGCGCAATTCATCTTCATCCACAGATCAAACATCCACAACCATGGCTGCCATAGTTCGAACATTTAAAGATACACGACGAAGCCGACGGAGACACCACAGTCCCGGCGACGGCGGTCGACGCGGCGGTTAGAACCCGAGAGGTGGCCCCGCGGAAGAAGGCGGGTTTGATGACGATCGATACGATTGAAGCCCTAACCAACCAACTCTCCCCTTCTCATCTCCTCGCCAGCTGCTAGGCAACAAACAAAGGGAAAAAAGTGAAAGCGATCGCTGCTCATTTTCCTGCAAAATTGGACTTTTCACAGCAGCGCCGCAAACCCTAAACGAGCAGAACTCTAGCCGCCGTCGTAATTTCAACGTGCCACCGCCAGAAATCCACCATGCCGTTGTGACGAACGCATGACAGATCTGTAAGATACTGTGAAACCCACCTCAAAATTTATCTTTTTGTAAAAAAAAAAAAATAATAATTTTTTGTTTTTGTGTAAATTATGTCTTAATGTCGTAAGGTTACATTGGGCCGATACTGGAGGTCTTGATGGGCCCCATGAAGATACGGAAGAGGGCCTGATATTCCTCTTCATCTTCGTCGAGAGTCTACAATTACAGACTGAACAAGCGGGCAATAATGATAAGCAAGAATCTGGCTGGGTTGCGATCTGGCTTCGAAGGTCTGGATCCACTCTAATTTTTCGTTGTTTGATTTTGAAAGCTTCGGCATCTGGAATTGGGATCGGGCAAAAGCTTCAGCATCGGAATCTGTAAAAAGGTAGTGAGATTTTTTACGATTCTTGATTTTCCACCAGAAACAATAAATAACTTGAATTAACAAATTACCAGGCATGCTGGGAAGACTGTGTTTTCTTACGGCTGTCGAAGTTAATTTTTTCGGAGGTCGATGTAAAGCGATGATGAGTCTGATGTTGGTGGCGATGTGACCTCTATTTTCACCATGGGTTTCCTATTCATGAGCTACCTCAAGGAAAAACAGTTTGTCTCAGTAGGCTAAAACCATTCGTAAAACAACTACGTCGTCATGAAGGCCCGACCTTGCAAGGTCTCTTTTTTTTTTGGATTTTTGTTTGATTTTGTCTGCCATAACTATTGTTTCTTATTTATGTTCTGTATTTCAGAGACCCCATAATCTTAGAAATCAGACTTGTGAGTTGTTTTTGGGTTTTAACTTGGGGATCTGCTGCTCAACCTTTTGTTTTAGTTTAACATGGATAAGGAGTTCAAAGTGAACTGATTAGGGATTGATTGGTGTAATTCTTAGTGAATCCAAAATTACTTGTCGTTCAGAAGGTTCTTCAGCTCAAGAGTTGAATGGAGAAGGAGTTCAAATTGAACTGATTAGGGATTGATTGGTGTAATTCTTAGACTGATTCCAAAATTACATGTCATAAGGATCTTCAGCTCAAGAGTTGATTACTATTGTCTTAAGTGGTTTATCCATTATGGTACTTTTACAACAAAAATACATAGTTGTATTGTGAATGTCGTTCTTTATTTATCTGTCACCATGCAGGAACTTAACTCAACCGGTGGGGTTTCTACCCGACATTTTTCCTGAAATGTGAAGGTGACATGCTGAAACCATTTTTTTATATGTTCACATTATGAATTATTGTCATTTGTTTCTTGGTAGAAATTATCATAAAATTAGTGATGATGATATGATGATGGTGGTGTTAGTAACTCATAACCAAAAGCCTGTTTCGGTATGTGTGTGAATTATAACTTCTGTGTAATCTAGCTGATCATGAATATGATTTCCCAATTCCATCTTTCAGACAATGTTTATTAATTTTTTCATTGAAACATCATGGCATTCTATCAGGTTTTAGTACTCTGCAGAGAAGATGGTGCTTCTGCACTTTGGAGGGGTTGGTCGGGCAAACTTATGCTGATGCTCTTCGTGAGGTAATGTAGCTGCTAACTCTGCATTCCTAGCTATATCAACTGGTTGTGCTATTCAGTTGCTACCATTTTCATGCTTCTTATACGAAATTATTTCCAGTGGTGTGCTAACTGTGATTGATCCAATTTTGTTCTACAGTTTCTGCTTCTCTAAAGGAAGTACTGAGAAGACGTGGATATCCTGCTTATATATGCTGATGTTTTCTGTTCAATTCTTCAGACATTACACATTTTACTCCGGATCTCACGAGATATATTACTGAAGGCCAGATATATATCTACAGACAACATCACAATAGACAAGTAAAGAGAGGGTATCCAGTTAGTGGCTGATATGTAAGACATTAACATCACTTTTTTTTAATATTACAGACAAGTTTTCTCCTAAATTTTGACATATCAAAGTTTCTTCATATTATCTGGTTAAGCACATTTCAATAGTACTAATACTGAGTTTAATATACGTATCATTTTCTGCTTTAATATACGCCATATTTTCTGGTTTAATATATGACAGAGTGCCATTGGTGAGGGATTGACTTGGAGGGACCACTCTGATGTGTCTAACCAGGTAGGTTTTACCTAAATTTCGATTCTCTGAACATTCCAAGCTCCTCAAATTGGTTCAGGCATTCCATTTTTCTTTTCGCAAATTGAAATTATATTTTTCTGATACAATCTCTTCAAATTTTTTTTCTTATATTCCCAGCTATATGCAAATCATGCCATCGATGAAGATGTCCAGGCAATGAAGCCTGCTTTTGGACAAGAAACACTTCCTCAGAAGATCTGGTTGGGCGCTTGCACAAAAAACATTTTTCTTATTCTAACTTCCTCCGATAAGGTCTAAAAGATACCCCGACTTTTGTCTGAACTATGTAAAACATACCAATATCCTATAAAAAGCAACTCTTTTTTAATGTTTGCATTGTCTTAACACCTAGGTTTGTGCAATTGTACCTCAAGTTCCTGGACAAATTCGAGAGGATGTTCGTGACGCACTTTAAGATACATTCCTTGCAATAAAAAGACAGAAACACGACTCCTAAAGAGGTGACAAATGTAGCGATGTTGATGGACACATTACACAGAAAAAGGGTGTAGGAACTCATCAACAATCTTTCTAAGTAGCTGATCACTGTGGGAATTGTTAAGATGTATACTAATATAAAGTATTTACCTTTCAAAATAAATCAGGGATTGAGTTGTGCCCAAGGTATTTATCTTTTGCTTTTCAACACACCTGCTCAAATATTGTGTTCCAACAATAAAATTTAATTTACACTGTTAAATAAATATTTATATTTTGCTTTTACACCTGCTCAAATATTGTGTTCCAACAATAAAATTTAATTTACACTTTTATGAATTTGTAAATATCTCATTAATCATTGCATTGTTTAGTTCCTTATATATTGCTGTAAAGTTATTTGAATAAAAGTTTGACCTTCATTCTTTTAATTTTGACAAATATTCATTATAATTATAGACTGGACTAGGGTCGGCTGTGCGTGCACAGCCACCGAGCCAACTAGTATCTATATATATTCAAAGAGGTTGATGGAAAAATTGTGGAAAGTTGATTAAAAAAATGGGTCAAAGCCTTTGATTTACTTCTTTTGGTAATCCGATTTAAATTCAAAATTTTAATGTCTTTTGATCTTCACGTGTTTAATATATATGATTTGCTAATTTTAAATTATTTATGGTATAAATTATGTATACTCTTTTGCGACATTTCAAATTATTTGTGGTACAGATTTTCTATGCAAAATTTGCTTGAAATTCGGTTCCATTTGTAAAGGTATCTTTTAATATTTTAAATCGTTTATAAATTAGAGTTTTGGTTGGTTGGTCTAGAACTTAGTTTGTAAATAAATCCGGCATACCATGTTATCTGAAATTTATTTGGATAATTAGTAGAGAGATTTTCTATACAAAAAACGTTTGGCCGTGAAATATCATCTCTTTCTAATTTATAATTAAAATATTATTTATAATCAATTAAATAAAATTTAATGTATTATTTTTTTTTTTCGCAAATACATTGGGCTACTATAATCAAACAAACATTGAAATATTCTTTTATAGAAATTTTGTCCTTTGTAATTGACATGAATAAAATGGCACAAATTAACAGAAATGTAATCCGAAAGTTTGATTTACATATTATTGACCAATTATAAATCCCCCATTCAAATTTACATACTAATAAATAACGAACTTATTTAATTAAATAATCATATGAATGAATGATAAATATAAATCTACATCAATCAAATTTAATTTTACCTATATTATTTCATAGAAACACATCTAAATAAATAAACCACATGTCAAAGAAGTTCAATTTCACATACCACCAGATAATAAAAAAGCTAATACATTGTTACCAAATTTTTAGGGAACATTCACTTAAACAAAAAAAATATATCATTCTTAAAATTTATTTTATATTCTGATTGCAATATCGGATTCAATTATATCTACAAAAAATTCTTTCGCAATTTTGTTACATAGTTTTGAGGAAATCCGGTTAAAACAATTCTTAAAGGACTAGAATTTTTCTCATTTTATGTTAGTAAAAATCTAAGCGGATAGTAATATATGTCTCACTTAAAAGATTCATTACTATCTTATTGCAAAATAAGTTGGACCGAATGGAAACATCACAAATCCTGAATGATTTTTTTAATTAGAACCATATCACCTTTAACACAAATAATTTATGACATCTATATAAGTAGTCAATTACACAAATCATTTACCATATCTTTTAGCATTTTTTTTCAATCGCTAATATATAGAATCCGACTAATTTCATTTTTTCCACCATATCAATATGCCGCTCGTTTAGTGTTTTTTTTAATTCAGCTTCCTGAAAAAAACAAGCTATACTTGATATTGAGGGTTGTTCGCATATTTGAAAGAAAATTCGAAACCAAGTAGTTGAAAATAAATTTCAAGGTAAATAATTTTTTTGTCATTTTTATTTATTATTATCGAATCCATATGTTAAAATTACTTAAATTACTAGTCTGTGATGACGATGACTCGCTACCAAATTAAATCAAAACTTTGTTTATAATGATGTATTCAATAATATATGATTTTTTTATTTGTCCGACCTGTTTACATTTGTTACATATACACCAAGTCTATTAAATTTAATATTCAATATTAAAAAAATTTAAAAAAATATATCATCTCGTGCATACACTATCACACGAACCACGACTAGTTTGAAGTGTAGAATTATATAGGAAAACTGGAAGCGAGTTGTTTACTTGTTTATGCACACTATATTTTTATTATTATTATTATTATTAATCAAAACATCTACAAATTAATAATAAGCAACTTAAATAGACGAATCAAACAGCTAAAAAGCTGAATCTATGATAACCTTTTTTTTTTAAATGAAACAATAATCAAAACATTTACAAACTGCTAGGAACTAAATAGATGAATCAACCCGTCTAAAAAGCATAATCTAACATAACTGCACGGTAATCTTGAAAAGGCGCCATAAGATATCTTAATGCACCATAAGATATCTGATATCTCCAAGTTGAAGAATTGTAATAACAGAAGACAACCCCTAGATCATAAAGAGAAAATAGAGTTTTGAAAAGACATGCAGAAGATGTCTAAATCACAATGAAACTGGCAATCCAAGCCATTTCTATCATCAGCCGTGCAAGAAAACGCAGCAACAAGATTTGAACTAGGGCAAGGAAAAACGCTATATTGATTCTGTATATCACATTATAACCCGGCAAATCGGCAATATCAACTACTCCAGATTCATTCCAGATATACATTGGCATAAAAGCTTCAGAAGCTTCAGAAGCAAAAGACTTTCCAGAATTTCATATCACTGAGTGTGAAATTGAAACTTCTAATGGCAGAAAAATGGCATCAAATCTTTCATCACTACACCAACCAACAACCCAAAAAAAAAAAACAAAATAAAAACAAAAAAATCACTTTCGAAAGCACAAAGGGCAAAGGCACTTCCCTTAGACGGTAGATTATGGGGTGGGCAGAGCCGAACCTAGAAGTGATCTCTCTTTACAGACTACTCAGTGGGGCCCTCAACGAACAAGTACAGATTCCTTTGCCACGGCCTCACAATCCTGCAAGTGGATATTACTCCCTCTGGTCGTAATATGGGGC